ACCTGAGCTCTAAACCTATCTAACTTAAAATAGGCGTGAGACAGGAAGATGCTATATCTCCCTAACTATTTTCTGCCGCGTTGGAGACGTGGTATCGATATCCGATTACGTAGTACTTATAGCTGAGCCCTTGCAAAACCTGAACACAATGCTCGAACATCTTAGCAGTATTTCCTAAAGAGTGCGTCTAAAGATTAACATGGATAAGGCGAAATTCATGTCGAATGACCATGTTGTACCCACTCCAGTTAAAACTGGGAATACTCCACTTAAATATATCGACCATTACATTTACCTGGGACAGACAGTCCAATTAGGTAAGTACACCTTTCAAGTCAAGTATCCCTAGTCTTTGACCAGGGTGCGTTACCAGTGATGATATACGGAAGCGAAACGTGGTCGTTTACTATGGGTCTCGTAAGTAGGCTTCAAGGGCAATAGAGAGAGCGATGCTAGGTATTTTCCAGTGTGAAAGAATCAGAAATGTGGAATCCGCAGGAGAATTAAAATAACCGACATAAATCGAAGGATTGATCAGCTGGAGTTGCAGTAAGTGAGACACATAGCTAGGAAAAAAAATGGTCGTTGGGGCGGAAAGATTCTCGTGTGGGGCCCGCACCAAGTAGACCAACAATCTATTAAAGGCCGCTGGATGTGGATAGCACAGGGCCGATCAACATGGAGATCTTTTGGGGGGGGGGGGGCTATGCTCAGCAGTGGGCGTCTTATGGTTGAACAAAGATGATGATGATTATGTCATTAAAATAACTGCAGCTCTTGAACCATATTTAGCGTATGAAAGACATAGCTTGCTCATTCTAGATAACCTTTTGCTATCAGTCCTTAACAGGAGTGAAGTTGGATTTACAGTAACAAATCTTTTGAAAGGCACTTTTATGGATTTTTATGTTGGGTTTTAGGTCTTATTCCTACATAATTTGTTAATTAAACCTTGATTAGAACAAGGACCTGTTTGAAAACATTTACCTTACCAAATTAGGCCAAATATGCAAACTTCCAAGACCTATAACTTAAAATAATCTAACCTAATCCTTTAAGGAAAATTATAAAATATTGAAACTGCTAACAATAAAAATATGTCATTATGTAAGTAGAGTCTGTGCGGAAAGAGAATGGGATTTTGACTGGAGAGCGCTGCAGTGCTTTTCTACCGTATTTGTAAGGTTTTACCCCTTTTAGACATCATTAAATACAAAAAACCGCAAGAAATCACAACAACTTCGACTTCTTAATGTTAGTTCCGTTTTTCGCCACGCTTGTGCGTGAATGGTATAGTCTGTACTCTACCATTATTTTCATTCATAGCAGAAGAAAATTCCGTCTGCGTCCTGCCTTTAATTTCGTTGGGAATGAGTAGCTTTTCCAGCACTTTTTTGTGTTAGTATACCAGTAAATGTTATGAGAATTTCTGAGCATTCAACTGAATGAAATAGAAGGCATCGCCTACACACACTAGAACGTTTAGGTACCAAGCAAATTCCGGCAGAGAATAAACTCAAATGCAAAGTTATGTTAACAAAAATACCAGTGGATTGCAGTGTAGTTTAAAACATTTCCGTACGTTAGCTCTTGTTTGCTGGTGGAAATATAAAAATACGACTATGCGGGTTCTGTGTCTAAATTAAAGTTTCATTGAAAAAACTTGGTATATTAACTACAGTATGGACATTTAAGTATAGTATGCAGTTGGACTATTGTTTCAAGCTTTCGTGGTCTCTAACATTATAGTAACTAGCGGGATTATTACCAATGCACCTTGTTTCTTACGAGTTCCCGATTATTCGGCACTGTAACAAGTGCAATCAATGATCACAGAGAAACTGAACAAATAGCAAGTAAGATGTATTGGCAGTAATATCGGTCGATCATCATCATCATCAGCCTATTAATGTCCCCACTGTTGGGGCACAGGCCTTCCCTATGGATGGAATAGGGAGATTGGGCCATGACCCACCACGCGGGCCCAGTGCGGATTGGTGGGTGCTAACGACTGCAGATGCAGCCGGGACCAACGGCTTAACGTGCCTTCCGAAGCACGGAGGAGCTCGAGATAGTAATTTATGGTCACCCATCCAATGACCGACCACTGCGAAAGTTGCTTAACTTCAACGATCGCAGCCGAACGCGCTAACCGCTTGCGCCATCGAGCTCCTCGGTCGGAGCGGTCGATCATACTGTTCACTATCTCACTACTCAGTCGCATATGTCTTGATCCAGTGTAAAATTATGGTACCAATCTAGAGTACCTAAGTGTCTGTAAAATGTTTAGTCAAAAAACTGTAAAGTTTTTAACTAATTTTAGCTTTTACTTGATTTATGATATGCAAACAACCGAGAAAACTTAATAGAGGCTTTGTAGTAAACTGGTTTGTTGATGACTGTACATATTCATTTTGTATATAGCAATGTCATTATATAAATTAGAGAAAAGTAGCTAGAAAAATCGAAATTGTGTTTTGTTTGATATACTGTTTTAAACTCCTAGATTCAATAGGTACTTAAACTACTTATATTTATACATTAATCACTTACTGAGTAATAGTACAGTATCCTAAATTGTTTTGTAGGGGAGTAATGAATTAACACGCCCAGTTATTACTTCAGACATAGCATAATTATTGTATTAACAATTTCTGACATCGGAACCCCTTCTAAATGGATAGACATGCTCGCATGAATAAAATAGAAAACGCAATGTGGCAAGAATGAACACAACATTAACAAATTTATTTATGTAATGATACACAAACATATTTGTAAATGTTATGCACAAATATTGTTGAATATGTTTATAATAACAAGTCCATTGATTCATATTTTTGTTGTTAAAAAGGAGGCATCAAAATATATATATTTTTTTTAAATATGTTCTTTTTTTTTGAAGAAAGCACGTTTTACATATTTATCATACTTTTAAACACATACACATCCAGCTGCAGCCAAAGATATTACATATGCATACTTAATATGATTGCTTCGTTGATTTAAATATCAGTTTTAACTTTTCTTGTGGTAAAAAATAATAGCACCATACTCAATACTTTTTACAATTAAATATTTGTGTGAAGCAACAGTATACAATCAAATCAATATATGTTTACAATAATTTGAGACTTGAAATGAAAATCAGGCCTTTACACTAAAGTACATTGTTCCAAAATAATAGCTCGCATACTGCAAAACAATGCAAATTCAATGCCGCACTTCTGCTCGTGATAACTCCCTTATACCACGCACTCTATCGGCTTTCAACTCTCTCCTGCCCCCCTAGCATGAGCGCCGTAATTCTATATCGTTCATTGACGACCTTCGTGGCTGGAAGTTTGTACGCCGGGTTTCATGGTGTCGCCGACTCGAGAGGTCCCGGGTCCGAATCCCGGTGGGGGCAGCTGTTTGTGTGATTAATACGAGCATTTGTACTCGTCATGGATGTTTAATATGCATTTCTATATATATACTTATATATGTAAACTATATCTGTTCTATCCGTTACCCTAGTATCCCACAACACAAGCCTTACAGTGCTTACTTTCGGGCTAGGCTCATTGGTGTGACTGTTGGAAATATTAATTTATTATTATTATTCTAATCACGCTGAATTTACAAATTGTTATAGAGTTTGACAGTTAGACGCGATAAAAACCTGATATATTGTGTATAGTGTTGCTCATGCTACGGGGACTGGCCGCTAACCCAACGTGTGACCTGTTTGCAGATGCGTGGCCCAAAATATTATCAGAACGCTAGCGCTATTGTTAAGAATGCCTGGGTCTGGTACGTTTTTTGATATGTGTTGCTTTAATTATTGTTTCCGTAATAACTCAAGGAAAAAAAAACAATTTTAATTATATTGCCGAAATTGATTTTCTAATGTGACACTAGCACAATTAAAAAATATCAATGATTTTCCTTATAACTGTCATCTCGAGTTGAAAATAAGGACGTTCATACAAATTATACTTCACCAATTGAAAAACGGATATTTAAAAATATATTAAAACAATAACACAACGCTACTTAGCCAGTAATTTAAATTATAATGGTGCTGGCACCCATTTGTTTTATTTACTTTACAACAGACTACATCAAACAATACTGCAGTGCAATTATTTAAGAACAAACTTACTTTTCACCATATGAGTTAAGAAACTTACAGTCCGTACTTTACACCTCGGATTCCGCGGTGTGATTTAAAATTAGAACACGAATTTCAAATCATACCGGCGAATTCCGCGGTGAAAAGTGAGTTTGTCCTTACAGAATAGCACTGCTGTTCACTAGTGATTCCTTATGTTTCATCCAGTCACGGATGTTTACTATGTATATAAATATGCTTATATATGTACGGTATATGTATTCTATCCGTTACCCTAGTACCCCATAACACAAGCCTTACAGTGCTTATTTTAGGGCTAGGCTAGGCTAGGCTATCTCCACAAGCTGCAGGTCAATGCCGTAAGGATAGGCCGTAAGACGATTATAACACTGCAGATGCTGCTACAATCCACTTTGGTTTACGATGCTACGCTTATATAATATTGTATGCAGTGTCTTGAATAATTGGTACACAAAAGCCGTACTTAGTTTAATGTATTGATACCGCTTCTTATAGCGTTCAAATAAAAACCGCTGCAACGCACGCCAATGCAGTATTAAAACCACGTTAAAACTACCTCATAACTTGTGAATGAAAAATCTTTACTATAGCAAAGTCTTCATGGTATGGTGCCCGTTTTCCCACTGTTTACTAAATTTACGTAGATAGGTAATTTTTTGCCAACATTTTTTCCAAAATAATGCGAAGCATAAAACAGCGGTAGATGAATGAATTATAACATTTATTTGCAATAGAAAGATTATCAACAAAATTCGGTCTACTGAGGTCTCGGTAGCCTAATTAAAGGTTCTGGCCCTACAATTATTTTTCTTTAAACTTTTTAGTAATTAAATGTTTAATAAAATACGTTATTTGTATACAGTTCACCCACTGGTACAAGTACCAAATCAACTGGTTGGGGCGCCGACTGGTACAGACGTCACGCTGCAGTGCCACGTTGAAGCATCACCCAAAGCCATCAATTACTGGACGAGGGAAAATGGTGAGTTACAACATAATAGACTTGCTTATAACTCGTATACCCAGAGCATCGAAGATGAAACTGAAAATGAACCAGGAACAGACTGTGACCGGCACTTTAGGGGGGGAACGGGGTGACAGTTGAAGCTTTTTTTATTCAGTTTGAATTCAATTGAATTCAGTGGCATAATCATCACATTGGCAGGACTGAACCAAGCTTTGCGTTTTATTTAAAATAACTGTAACACGATAACCTTCTTTACGTACTTTATGCTCCGGAGTAACTCCACTTGTTACTGTACATAATTCTTTTAATTTGGACATCGCCGATTGCGTTATCGCCGTAAGATTCTCTTGTTGAGCTGAAATAACTGCTATGTGTAGAAGCCGCTGAATAAAATACAAAGTTTAACAACTATGATTTATACATACCGTAGTAATTTAGTCCCTTTCATTTCTACACTTGAAAACTCTGCACTTTGGACAAAAAAAGTTACAGCAGTGTCAACACCAACTCTTGGTAAATTCCTGGAGTCTGTTTTGATAAACCCAACTTCCATTTTTATTAAAAAAACGCAATTAATATTCCCACAAAATAATATTCACTTTTACAACCATAACCTCAAATAAGTTGTCAGGAGTGATGTCACTAAACGCTGATTGGTGTTTTAAAATACGTATTTGTCAAGTCATTTTTAATTCATAATTATTGTTAAAAAAGGAAAATGAAAGAAAGAAATTATTTATTGACCCTATAACATTGACAAATAAAAAGCATAAATAACAAACAGAATAAGGTCAACTAGGTTAAAAAAGAAAGAAAGAAAGATATATTTTTTTATTGACCCTATAACATTGACAAATAAAAAGTATAAATAACAAACAGAATAAGGTCAACTAGGTCCCTAGTATAATGCCACAACGACACCAAGGCCGCTGCGGCGCTGATATTCTGGCAGGGCCTAAGGTTGACGTAAAAAACAACGTTATGTAAAATAAAAACGTTGCAGTGACCTTTCTTTTATATATTTTTAACATTTTAATCATAAAATTTTCATAAATATTATATTTGCATCTTCCCTATTCAATTCCGTCAAGATGCTAAAAATATTTTTATTGTCAGTCCAACAGAAACATATCACAGAGATTATGTTCAAAAAAGCAAAAACCTCGTAAAGTAAATATCTATTTCGTGATGTTGGAATTTCATTCAGCACGATATCAAATGTTTTAAAATTATAAGTTTCAACCCAAAATGGGTTTTAATTTTACAATATAAAATAAATATTGAATCAAGCTTATGGTTGGAGAGTTATTTATTTGAACCTCCTCTACCGACCGTAACCGTCGCTTTGTTAACAACCTCCTGCCTATAATCATTCCCTTTGTTTTGAGTTTGTATGCTGTTGGTCACAGATGACCTTTACAGCGTCACCGGGTTTTGAGACAGCGAGATCCTAAGGGGGCCTCAAGCCGAGAATTGGCGAGTGCCTCTAGAGGTATTCCAGGCGGATGGCATCTCACCACGGGGGTAGTCTCCTCTCCGTCTGGAGCCTCTAAACCACCCGAACCTGAGGGAGTCAGCTCAACTAGAAAATAATCATTACCGAAAGTACCCTACCTATTTATAAACTTTTAGTGCCATCAAAATTAGAAACTTAGTTCAAAGCAAAACCCACCTAACTCCCATTTACGCCCAATAAAAGGTAATTATTAACGGCCCAAACAAATGTTTACGTTGTTCATAAACTATAATGCTTATTAAGGCACGAACCTCAAGAACGGAATAAGCAACTAATTTCATTATTCATAAAGCATATTATTGGGAGCGTTAAGGCACTCATTAAATAGATCGTTTTTCATAATCCTAGTATCCTGCCCGACAGCTTTGGCGCTAGTGGTGGCTACAAGTTACGGCATTTTTATGTTCCACCCTATTTAAAAGGAAAAAATATGCGGTTGTACCATGGTCGTTTTTCATTTGGATGAGATTTATTTTGACTGTGATTATATGGCTTCGATGCCGGACTTAACGACGCCATAATTATGTCGAAAAATGGCATGGTGAAATACAGCCTAGGGTGTTATTAAAATACGCAAACAGTCGACAGTTCCGGCAGATTTTGCTTTTAATGAATATTGTCATTCTTATACCAAAATGAAGAATGCTTCAAATTTCTAAAAACGAACTTACCATTTCGTTTTAAAAATATTGAAAGGATTACCATAATAGTAACAGCCATCATCATAAACCAATTAATATCCCCACTGTAGGGGCACAGACCTTCCCTACGGATGGAATAGCGAGACTGGGCCGTAACACGCCACGCGCGGCCAGTGTGGATTCGTGGAACTGCAGATGCAGATGCAGTCAGGACCTACCGATGACGCTTAGCGTGCCTTCCGAAGCATGGGGGAGCTTGAGATAATATGTTTTGGACACCAATCTAATGACTGACCCAATGGTCAACAACTTTCGAAATCGAAAGTTGCTTAACTTCCACGATCGCAGGCAAACTACGCTAACCACCAGCTCGAGTTCCTTATAACAGTGTTATTAATAAATTAATTATAAACAATATCTATGAATATCATTTTACTATCGGTGACAATAATTAATGATTTGTGCAACGACAGTATTCCTGTCTGTCTGCTCGAAAGGTCTGAGGTTCTAATTTATGTATATGTTATTTATGAATTTAGCAAAACTATGTATAAACTAAACATACCATTGACAGAAGCTATGACCCAAATTTCGGGTAGTGGTCGTTTTGTGGTTAAATAAAATAATGAAAGCCCTTAAATTATTTTCGACCTCAGGATGACTGCACCAAAATATTATAAATCCTTATTACGACCCAATAAGATAACAGAAAACCCATATTATTATAAACACGCCCAATACATTTTTTCTTTTAAATTTCGATATATTATTATAATCCCATAATAGCATGTACAAAATTAATTTACTCAAATTCCTAGGCATAGTAACACACAAAATATAATGATTTAGTTTCTGTGGCAATGGAAATCGAAATAAGTAAAACTAGGTGTCCCATTATACGTACTACGTTTTGTAGCTAACCTTAAAACTTCCGATAAAAAAGTTCATATAAAAAGTTTACATAACTAAAGATATTTCTTTTTAATAAAGGCTCAAAATTTCTTAATTCAGTTTTACTGTTAAGGTAAACGAAACGTAGAGTAGGTAGCAAAGTAAATACAATTAAAACACTCCTACCACTAAGTAATACAAATAAGGCCCTTAACCTAACAAAACACAAGTACTTTAGAGGGAAACTTCATTATTTCTCATTAAAATAGCGGTCCGGATAAAAGTTGCTTATTTAGTGAGATGTGACAGATGGGCAAAAGTAGCCGCCGCTTTGTGAGAGCAATGAGCAAAGATAAATTTGATATTTACATTAGTGTCTCTATACGACACAGATAAAGCTAGAAGGATAAATAAGAGGGTTTCATTTAAGCAAAACAAAGGAGATGATACTGACTAGATTCGTGGTAGGTACTTCTGAAAAATACATATAGTATTTTGAGAACTTTATGGTTATTAAGATAATACATAACTACACAGTTAGTCAAGTGAATAGATTCGTTAACGTTTATGTAATGAATGATTAATTATTAGTATCACTAAAGCGCCATTTACACGATACAAGTTTCTTGCCTATTGCATACAATCAAATTGAAGCAATAAATGACTTGCATGTTCTAAACAGCACATAACATTCTTGATGTGGTATACAAGTTTTGCTTCAAAACTTTTCTTAGTGTAAACAGCACATACAATAATTTCTTAAGGAATTCTTGTATTCAACTGATCTCTTACAAACATGATTGCAGTAAAGCGCCATTTACACGATGCAAGTTTATCTATAAAATCCTACACTAGATTCAAAAAACGCTCTCGCCTTAATAATCAAAGTAATCTACTATTAACTTCGTTCCAACCGAGTGTTCCACGATACTCACGCAATTTTTTTGTTATTTCTTAGTTCCAAATCCATCAACTCCGAATTCTAGAGCAAAATGCTGCAGTGTAGCATTATGTCCATCATGATTTTTGAAATTTACACTATTAATGTCCCTATACAAACACTCACAATCAACAATACAAACAAACAATTTTTAACAACAATTACAAACAATATAAACACTCATGATTGCGATAAATCTCAATGTATCCATGTATTGTAACAAACCCTGATCCAAATCCAAAACACTTGAATGAAAAATATGCCAACGCATATAAGTGCAGTTCTTGAAGCAACTATCAAAAAAATTGTACACGCACATATAATCCTGTGTTTAGACGTGCCAAAGTTTGAAAGCAATAATCTCCTAAACATAATTATTGGTGTAAACAATAGATTTTTGCAATTCTTTATGTCAAAACTTGCATTCAATAATTGTATGCAACCGTTTTACTTATGCCCTAATGTAAACAGTGGCTTATAATTCTTTAAGTTCAATTATTGCGTCACATTTATTGCATTCAATTATAACTCTCGTATGTGCAAGAAAATTGCATCGTGTAAATGAGTCTTAATAAACTATAACTTAAATAAAACTAGTTTTTACGGGTTAATGCACGAAACTTTATTTATTTATTGACGTTTCACAGCCTTTTCAGGTCTGCATCGTCAGAATAATGATTTTTTATTTAAAATTGTCGAGCTACCTTCGAAAGACTTATATTGAGGGTTCGGTTATTTCATTGGAAGATTTTTAAAATTTTATTGTCTATGTATGAATTTATTATTTAATTTACTTAATAAAGTATTTTATTTAAAATTCTTGTTTGTAACTTTGAGTTTATTTATTTGACCCTAACTACCGTAAACTACCACCGGTTCCAAAATTGGGAGACCTTCCTGAGAAGAACCGGCGAAACAAACTCAAGAGAGGCTTTCTATCTCCTTCTTATGTTAAATTATGCAAACAAAAAGAACTAATAGTATCTGATGGTCTTGCAGTGTGTGCTCGGGGTTGGGATTTTATCTC